AAGCTGAGGTGGGAGAATTGCTTGAACCCAGGAGACGGAGGTTGCAGTGAGCCGAGATTGCGCCACTGCACTACAGCCCGAATGACAGAACAAGACTCTGTCTCAAAAAAACAAAACTGGGGCATACCCAAATCCAATTAATATCCAAATAAATGCTTGCTAAATGCCAGGGATACTGCTATGCATTTTACTTAAGTCTCAGAACAACCCTCTTAACTCCACTTTACAGAGGAATGGGAGGCACAGAGAAGTTAAGCAATTTGCCCAACCTCATAGCATGGAAATGGTAGACAAGACTTAATTTCTAACAGTCTGGCCCCAGGGCCCATGTGCTAAACTATTCCTTACCTAGAACAGTAGGAATGCCTGCTCAGAAAAACAGGACTTAAAACAGAAAAAAAAAAGTGGTGTTTTTTGAACATCTGATTGAGAAAGAATGTGTGAACATATTGTTTCTAAACTTACCAGGTAACAAGAGTCATTCTTCTTGTAACTGCTTCCCAAACTGTGGCATGCTTATGAACCATACAGGGATCTTGTTAGAATGCAGATTCTCATTCAGCAGGTCTGGGGTGGACTCAAGGCTCTAGGCAGAGGGCAAGAGGGTCCCTATAATTTGGAGATGGACTTCCCCACTGAAAATGAAGAAACTGGGTTCTGCTCAGAACCTCAGCCTCCCATGAGGCAGTTTCCAATAGTGGAAGCCTCTCTTTGAGTGCCCCAAACAACTGAATTTCTGGACCAGCAAAGCTGAGGTACAGCCCCAGGCTCTAGACCTTCCCTGAAAACTCAGCTTTTTGTGCCCAGCAAGCTCTGTGGGGGTCTTGTTGGGGACCTTTCTCTTATTGAAGGGATCAGATGAGTGAGGGGCACTGACCTGGGAAGAGGGATGCTGGGGAGCAGGAGGCTTTGTAGTGTGGAGTGGACTATGCAGTGAGTGGCCTGGCACAGACTCCTGTGCTCAGGTCTGCAGAGAGAGCGAATGATAAATAAGGATGTACTGGAAGACGAGGTGTGCGGTTCAAGTACAGAAATGGCAGGTCTGTTGGGGGAAGGGAGAGATTGACTTTGCCTCCTTGGCTGTTGTGTTCATGGCCAGTCCTCAGTGTGAAACTTAATGCAAGGAGTTTGTGCCCCATGAAGGCATGGGCTGATCAGTCTTGTTGATCCACTAGATCCATAGCAGGTTGTTGACTGAACAGACGAACGAATGAATGAAAGGCTACAGAAGCCATACAGAGCCCGATGCTATTACCCTCCACCTCCTCCTGGATGATTGTGGGGATGACTCACGTCCTGCTGCCCCCTCACTTTCTCAGCCTAAAACCACACATCCTGGACTGTGCGGGCAGCGAGCTGACCTCTTCCTTTTCTGCTGCAGGATCTTCATTACACAGTTTCTGAGTTTCCAGCAAGTTGCCTTTCTTCCCCGTTTAAGAGATGAGAAAACTGGGCCTTGGGGAAAATGAGAAGTCCCAGTTTAGGTCTCCAGGGACATCTCCTAAAGAAGTATTCAGGATGCTGTACTGTTCGGAAGCTGGCTCCTGAGACACCCAGACCATTTCAGGCTCTAAGAATTGTGCTTCCATTCCCTCCATCTGGCTCCTATACCATATCACACCCAAATATGTGAACTCAAAGCCAAAGAGAAGAGACCAGGCCATGTGCAGCCAGGGTGAAGGCATGTAAAATCTGGAGAGGGTGGACCAACCTCTCATACTCCTGTGTTGGCAGAGAAATGGACCCACCCATTTGCCTGGCACAACCAAAACTCAGCTTTTTCTTGCTGTGGGATGCTGGTCTGAGGCCAGTCTCAACCAGTCTCCATATCACGGCTTGGTGAAAGCACCTCTCCCCCACCCCAGATCCCAAGCATCCCTTGGACCCTGCCAGGACAGAGCCACAGATGCTGGGGAAATGGGAACTGTCTGGAGACAGAGAGGCCAGCCACATCCAAAGCCGGTGGGAAAGTGGTGGTGGAGACATGTGCTCCTTGCTAGAAACATTATTTTGAAACTTATTTCCTGTAGGAATTGACCAGAGGTGGGTTTTGTCTTGCAAGATAGGCTTCCTTTCTTGAGAAGTCTCAAGAGAACAGAGTTTTCAGTAACTCTAAGACATGGTTAGGTCACTGCAACAACTTTATTTCTGGAGAGAACATGTGCTTTGGCTTCCTGCCTCTTCCTACTCTGGGGAAACTGGGGCCAATCTTGAAGACTGATCTCCTAGAAATGTCCTTTTCTATTCCAACAGGGTTTGACGTGGCTCAAAATATAGGCTGTAAAAGCAACCAAGTTAATAAAAATGAGGGGGAAAGAAGAAGGAAGTGGATGTGTTAACTTAAGTGCAAATAAGAGTTGGCACCTAGGGCAATCATACTTGCCTCAGCACTTGCTGGCATCTGGGAAAAGGCACAGTCTTGAAATTTGTTAGGTTCTTTGCAGCTTTAACTGTCGCTTCCTTCTCTGTGCCTCGGTTTCTCTGTCTATAATGTAAGGGGAAAGTACCTCATCCAAGCTTTATTGAGAGCATCACCTGAGACAATCCATGCAGAGCACCTGAAACAGTACCTGGCACACAGTAAGCATTCAACTGCATCACACATATTATTACCTCATTCATCTGGGGATGGGGAGGGCATTGGTACGTGGAGGAGCTGGTTCTCCTTTACCTTCTCTTCTCTGGATGTTCTCACCCCTGCTTCCATCCAAGTCCTCACAGATGGCCTCTGAAGCCACCTTTGTTCCTGGTCTGGCTCCACAAGGTTCCCATACGCACTTGAGTTCCCCTGCTCCAAGCAGACTATTTCCAGGATGCTTACTTCAGGCACATTGAACAGTGACCTCAAATGCATTTCCTTGACTGTACCTCTCTGAACTAAAAAGTACGGAAATGGCATTGTCTCCTCCTTTTGTCTGGTCTGGGCTAGGTTGGGATGCGGGGGAGAGCAGCTTTCCTAGCTCTCAGCAGCTTAACTCCACCCAATTAGTGAGAAGACTCCAAACCCACAGTGCCTGGCACGGTGTTCTACAGCATGCCACAGGTTGTCTTGTTCTGTCCTCTCTGAGAACGAGGGTGGGGAGGGACCCTTGGCTCACAGAGCTAGTGACAGTGACTCACCAAAGATCCTGTGGGCACTCAGGGTCTGGGCCAGGCCAGTGAGCCCATTCATGTGGCATGAGCCACAGCCCTGCTCTTCTTCTGGCAGCAGCCCATTTTGCGTGTCCCCTCACTATGAGCCGTGGGAGAAATTTGAAAGAGCTTGGATCGAAGGGCAGGGGGATGAGGGTGGTCCTAACAACTGACAAATGCTTCATTTTAAACACGGGCTATGTACAACAGGCTTTTAGCTAGCTATTGAACAAAGAGAATAAGAGATCTTTTAGAAGGGCTTTATTTATATTCATTCACTTGGTCCTCACAACAACCCTGTGAATTAGAACTCTCAATCTCTCTCTCCCCTTTACAGATTAGAAAACTGAGGCAGAGAATTTATTTGCCTATGGTCACAGGACTAGGGAGTAACAAAGCAGGTGGTCTGGTCTTACAGTCTGTGTTTAGCCACCCCACCAAACCGCCTCTCTAAGATGCTGAAGGGTGTTTGTGCCAATGCCTGGATTCGAAGAAATTAGATTTACTTTAGGATCTCTGACCTCTTTCCCCAGCATTCAGAGATAAGGCCAGAAACAATGCCATTTGTACACAAATGGATGGTCCTCCTATCTCCTATTTCTATTTACAAGGCACTGTAACTTCTTCCCAGGGGCAGAGCCCTACCTCTCCTCCCTTAGGTCCGGGTCTCCAAGGGCTATACCCTACTGATCCTGAGGCGCAGCAGTGAGGGCCCACCCCAATTCCTCACCTCCCTTTCTACTTTTCGGCAGAGGCATCCTCAGTGTTGGAAAGATAAGGATTTCTTCCTAAAAAAGAAGAGTTATACTATATCAGAGCCCGAAGATACAGGCAGTTTTCATTTGCAATGAACATCCCCTTCCACCCTTTTCTACATCCTAAAACAAGCATATTCACGGTAACAGCAAAGCGGAAATCAGCTTTTCTTGAACATCTACTGAGTTCTAGCCACATTCACACACGTTAATTCATTTAATTCCAGCCACAAGGTGGGCAGCCAATTGTAAAATTGTAACATTTTACAATTGCGAGAACGCAGTCAGAGATCTGGGACTTGCTCAAGGTGACACACTGCAGCAAGGAGTCAGAATTTGAATCCGAAGCAGTGTCCTTCCCCCTCGCCACAGCTGCGGCGCTACAAACACAGGTCGGCCACGGGGAAATTAATGACCCACAGCCATCCTTGCAGCTCTGCGCCACAACTGGGGAGACAAGCTGGTTCCCGTGACTCTTCAGTCTTTCTGTTTTCACCCAAGTGCATGACTGCGGGAGCAAAGCGACCACGTGAGCATCCCCCAACTTCCCCCAGGCGAGGGACAGTGCCAGGCCAAGGACAAGTCACAGGTGCAACAACGTGCCAGAACTGGATCCGGGGCCCCAAGGCGCAAGCTCTCCCGCAGCGTCACCGGGCAGACGGGACGGGTGTGGCGACCGGGCGCGGCAGGTCATGCGTGCGCTGAAAGTGAGGCTTCAGGCGCGGACGGCTTTCCGGAGCCCCGAGAAAGGAGCTAGGAATGACCTTGGTCGCAGCCTCTGTAACCCCCCATGACGGCCTCCGGGGGCACGGCGAGGTCCCCCCTTGGTCTCTGGCGGTAACCAGCCGGCGGGGCCAGACAGTACGGAGACTCCGGGATGAGGGCGCCGGGAGGGGTTGTCCCGCCCCACGTGGACCGGCTCTCTGGTGGGGGCGTGGCCACCAGCGCGGGCCAAGCCAATGAGCGCCACCGTCGGGCTCACCAGGCTGGGCACGCCGGGCCGGCGGGGGCTGCGTCATGCCGGGGGCGGGGCTCCGGGGCCGGCGCGAGGCGCGGCAGGTCACGCGGGTCGCGGCGCCGGCTATAAGTAGGGGCCGGTGGCGTGCTCCGCTAGAGTGATGGCTGCCGGTGCTCGCTGCGTGCTTCCTCTTCTCGGCTGCTGAGAGCCCTGCGGCTGCTTCCTGGATAAGTTGTAAGTCCCGTGGAGCTGTCCCCGGTGCCGCCGACCCGGGCCGTGTGCTCGCCGACCGCAGGCGCGTGTGCCCGTGGCTCCAGCCGCCGCCGCCTCGATCTCCTCGTCTCCCGCTCCGCCCTCCCTTTCCCCTGGTGAGTAGTGGCGCCACCTCGTAAAGGCTCTTTCTTCTTCCTGGGGCTGGGCGCGGACGCCGTGGCGCCGGAGGCGGCCGGCGTGGGTGGTGCGGCTGGCTTCTCGCTTCACCGCTGGCCGCCTTCACTCCGCCCGCCCGCGGGCCTTTTTGGCGGTCCCTGGGCGGCGCGCGCGGGAACAGCCCTTTTCCGGTTTTCGTGCTGAGGGCGCGCGCGGGCTGGCAGCGCGGGGGCCGGGCTGGGCGCGCGCGGAGGCCCCGGAGCCACGTGCCCCGCCGTCTCGCGCGTCTAGGGGGAATGGGGTCTGGAGTAGCCAGTAGAGTGCACGGCGGGGCCCCGGGCGCGTGGGTAGAGCAGGTGCCCTGCTGGCCCTCCAGGGTCGTGCAGCTATTGTTATTTCCCCCCTTCCCCGCAGGATGAACTTGGGTCCTTTCTCTTCGCCATGGAATTCTGCTCCGTGCTTTTAGCCTTCCTGAGCCAAAGAAACCCCAGACAACAGCTGCCCATACGCAACGTATAGCAGTAACTCCCCAGCTCGGTTTCTGTGCCGTAGTTTACAGTATTTAATTTTATATAATATATATTATTTATTATAGCATTTTTTGATACCTCATATTCTGTTTACACATCTTGAAAGCCGCTTAGTAATTCTCTTACTAAAGAACCACTACTCTAGAGAATGGCAACGCCGATTCCCAGTATTACAGCTTCTGGTCCATTGGTGGGCTGCCTATGGATGCTCATCCTGGGCTTCATTATTGCATTTGTCTTGGCATTCTCCGTGGGAGCCAATGATGTAGCAAATTCTTTTGGTACAGCTGTGGGCTCAGGTGTAGTGACCCTGAAGCAAGCCTGCATCCTAGCTAGCATCTTTGAAACAGTGGGCTCGGTCTTACTGGGGGCTAAAGTGAGCGAAACCATCCGGAAGGGCTTGATTGACGTGGAGATGTACAACTCAACCCAAGGGCGGCTGATGGCCGGCTCAGTCAGTGCTATGTTCGGTAAGTTCTTTTTGTTTTGTCCTCTTCTTGGTGGGTGAGCAAATTTGTATCATGGGTGGTTCCATTTTTGTGCTTAACCTTTCAGATTAACCTTTCGGAATGCACCACTTACATAATAGAATTTTGCCATTTACTTAATAAAACTTGACTTTGTTTCAGGTTCTGCTGTGTGGCAACTCGTGGCTTCGTTTTTGAAGCTCCCCATTTCTGGAACCCATTGTATTGTGGGTGCAACCATTGGTTTCTCCCTCGTGGCACAGGGGCAGAAGGGTGTCAAGTGGTCTGAACTGATAAAAATTGGTATGTTTAATTTTTCGAATGGCGTCTTAATTTTTGTTTTTGTCATACGTTACCATGGCATTAGGTATGGGAGTATGTGTTCTCATGTGGAGGGACAGACCAAAGAATTTTGAACTCTTAAACATTTAAAGTAGCTTTTGGTCTCTGATTTTCATTATTTGATATTTTTTCTTAATGTGTTCTATTCCAGTGATGTCTTGGTTCGTGTCCCCACTGCTTTCTGGAATTATGTCTGGAATTTTATTCTTTCTAGTTCGTGCGTTCATCCTCCATAAGGTAACTCTCTTCCTTACGAAGACCTTTCATGGATCACACCCAGTTGATTTCAAACCCTGTGGTACTTTTGCAGATGTGATTGGTGTATAGGTATGCAGCCTTGGAAAGTTAAAATAGTTCTTTGTTCTGTGTGCCTTTTGTATGTTGTGGAGTTCTCTGAAAGAAGCAAGATTTTATATAAGAGGGCAGTCAGGGAGGAAAAATTGAATGCCATGATGTGCCAAGTAATAGGAGAAACTGGGAGCAAAAAAATACGGAAATTTATTTTGGGTGGCTTTGTATAACTGTATATAGATTGTTTGTTGGAACCACCATTATATACAGGCTAATACAACGTATAAGCTTGGAATTCAAGTCAGTATTCCCTGTGGCTTTTTTATTAAGCTGCCAGTTAAATGGGTCTCTGCAATGCTGATTATCATAACTAGTTTATAAGCTTCTAGATGTGGACTCTGCCTCCCGTAGTGACTTGATTCCAATTTCTCAGAATAGGTGAAAAGAATCAGTTAAAGGTCGTTTTTGGCCAAAAAAAAAAAAAAAAAAATTTTTTTTCAGGCAGCCATTTCATTTCCTGTCCATTTGAAAATCCTTTTTAAGTGACCCAATAGCATTTCTTTTATCAAGAAGTCATGCTGGCTTCAAAATAAATGTAGACAAGGGATTATGTTGGCATAGGACTGAGTTACAGTAAGAATAAATGCATTTTTCTCAGGAAACAAAGTTGTCCTTTTTCTAAGGTGAATGGCTCTTAACAATCCATTGTAAGTTCTTAAAAATGTTCCTAAACTGTAGAAATCTGAGTGAAGGGAGATAGCATAAATTCCGGCGGGTAAGAATGTATTCAGACCTACTTGTCTGGTCTAGTTCTAAGCTTCCCTAGGGAAGGATTTGTCTTCTCCATAGAAATTCTGTGACTAGAAAAGTGATTCACTAATCACTATTTTCCATAGCCAGAATCTGGCAGAATATAGCAGTTTAACACTTTGAAAACTTGAAATATTTCTAGTTTGGTATAATTTGAGAGTAAGCAGTTCATTGATATTTATGGACTCTTAGATTTGGTTCTGTTTCATTCAGCAGACAGGTACAATAAGTACCTGCCTTCCTACACCCGACAACTATAGTTTATGATACTAGGATGCTTAAATTAGAGGCTCACCAGTAGTCATGGACTGGATTTTTTTTTTTTTTTTGAGTCAGAGTCTTGCTCTGTCGCTAGGCTGGAGTGCAGTGGCGCAATATTGGCTCACTGCAACCTCCACCTCCTGGCTTCAAGTAATTCTGCCTCAGCCTTCAAGTAGCTGAGACTACAGGCTTGTGCCACCATGCCCAGCTAATTTTTGTACTTTTAGTAGAGACAAGGCTTTACTGTGTTGGCCAGGGTGGTCTCGATCTCTTGACCTCATGATTTGCCCACCTCAGCCTCCCAAAGTGCTGGGTTTATAGGCGTGAGCCACTGCCTGGCTGTCATGGACCAGGTTTTTTTTAGTACTTGTATTAGAACCCTATATCCTGCTACTTAGCAGAGAGTCAGAAGCATTAGTAGGATCTCCTGTTGTGAATTCCTGCTTTGTCAAGGTTTATACTGGCCCTTTGTTGATGATTGAGTAACAGATCATTTTGTTTTTGGAGATGGTTTGTGTGTTTCACCTCCAGAAAACAAACTTATTTCCCGGAGGGGGAATGATGGTCCTCTGAGGTGCAAAAAGGGATTCTCAGGTGGCCAGAACCTCTCATCTGAGGAATGCATACCCCCACGCTGTTATTGAGAGCTGAAGTTAGATATAGTAACTGATTTCTTAACTGTATATTTTGTTTTTTGTTTTTTGTTTTTTTTGACATGGAGTCTTGCTCTGTCGCCCACACTGGGGAGCAGCCCCGCTAATTTTTTGTATTAACTGTATATTTTTCATGTGGGTATGGGAATGGGTATGATCAAATGATGAATGATGCGCATAGTGTTTAAAGCAATATTGATGGACCGGGTGCGATGGCTCACTCCTGTAATCCCAGCACTTTGGGAGGCTGAGGCAGGCAGATCATGAGGTCAGGAGTTAGAAACATACTGGCCAACTCTGTCTCTACTAAAATACCAAAACTTAGCTGGGTGTGGTGGCGGGCACCTGTAGTCCCAGCTACTCGAGGTTGAGGCAGGAGAATTGCTTGAACCAGGGAGGCGGAGGTTGCAGTGAGCTGAGATTAAGCCACTGCACTCCAGCCTGGCTGATCTGGATAGATCTCGACTCCATCTCAAAAAAATAAATAAATAAAACAATATTGACTTTGAGGATCTTCCCCCACTCTGCGTGTGCATGCACATACACTCTTTCAGGCCAGTTCCTCTGTAACAGGAGTTTTCAGGTGAGTGTGACTTTCTGCTTCTTTTTAGGAGTTACATTTCAAGAAAATAGACTGGTAAGCTTTGGGGATCCTAACTGCTAAAATCTGAATATTTGACCATTAAGATACATTCCAACTCTTAAAAGTCTATCTTGAAAATTAAGATTAAAAGTACATCTTTTTATTTCAAAAACTTTCATTTTAAACATTTTCTATTCTCTGAATGTTTGCTCCAAACATGTTGGTAATCTGGTAGGAACAGACAGAATGGAGGTGAGGTGCTTCTGTTAAGGACTGGCATTGTACAGAAGGGATACTCCTCAGTGCTCCTGTTGAATATTTTTAAATTCTAGTCAAAGAAAACAGGGCTTTTGGCATTCTCATTTATTAGGAGAAATGTATTTAGGTTATCTTCCCTTTTCTTTAGACAAAAACAGAATATCCAATATGTAATAGTGAACTATTCTGGTGAAGATGGGGGTTATGTGAAGACCTTCTTTCCCATCCCACATGACTAGATGATCAGGCATTCATATCATTTCCAAGTGAAGTTTTACTTGTGTGTTAGGTGGATCTGTACAATGATGAGAGACCTTTCTTGTTGTACCTTTTTCCTAGACTCTTTGGAACTTTTGACATTTTTTTTTTTAACTATGAACCTGTATTTCATAATAAACTTGGTATAGTAGTGTCATTCATTCCCTACCCCATCCCCAACTACTTTGTATATAGAATACCTCAGATTTTTTTTACCTCAGGGAATACTTAATTGGGCTATACTGTACAGGATAATAAATACGCAGGTTGCTACTTCTGATGAGTCAATTACAGTTTGATTTATAGATAACCCTATATTATGAAATAGTCTTTGAAAATCTGTAGAGAAGTCCCCACATAATGTCTTTAGAACACTAAAGGGTTTTAGTTTTGCAGCGTGGGAGTCTTGGGTTGGGTTTTTTAGAGCTTTTTTTCTTTGAAATGGAGTCTTGCTCTGTCACCCAGGCTGGAATGCTGTGCACTGTCTCGGCTCACTGCAACTTCTGCCTCCAGGGCTCAAGCAATTCTCCTGCCTCAGCTTCCTGAGTAGCTGGGATTACCGATGCCTGCCACCACGCCTGGCTAGTTTTGTTTGTTTGTTTGTATTTGTATTTTTAATAGAGATGGGGTTTCGCCATGTTGGCCAGGCTGGTCTCGAGCTCCTGACCTGAGATGGTCCACCCTCTTCAGCCTCTCAAAGTGCTGGAATTACAGGCTTGAGCCACCACACCTGGCATTTTTTTCTTTTAAGAAGCAAAATCTTGCCCTGTCACCCAGGCTGAAATTTGATGGCCTAATTGTAGCTCAGTGCAGCAGTGTCCTCCCAGAGTCTTGCTCTGTCACCAGGGCTGGAGTGCAGTGGTGCGATCTCGGCTTACCTCTGCCTCCTGGGTTCAAGCGATTCTCCTGCCTCAGCCTCCTGAGTAGCTGGAGTTACAGATGTGCACAACCATGCCCAGCTAATTTTTTGTATTTTTAGTAGAGACAGGATTTCACCATGTTGGCCAGGATGGTCTCGATCTCCTGACCTTGTGGTCTGCCTGCTTCAGCCTCCCAAAGTGCTGGGATCACAGGTCTGAGCCACTGCGCCTGGCCACGAGTGTCAGTTCTATGAGAACAGGAACTTGGTCTCATTCCCTCCTATACTTCAATGCCCAGAATAGTGCTTGGCACGCAGTCTGTTGAGTGAGTGGATGACCTTGTGCGCAATCAGTTTTTATCATTGGAATTTGGTAAAGCATTGGCATCTTTGTCAGATGTTTAGATAAGATGGTTGCTGTAGGTATAGTCTGCATGTTGTACTTTTAGTCTTTGAAGGTATGAAGTGGTCAGGTAAGCAGCATCCTAACATAGTCTGTTTCTTGACATCTCTTGCAAAAGTAGAGTATAGCCTATCCTCAGTCATGTGCTCAAGTTTATATTAGGGCTTTTTGGGTACCTTAGAATGTGGCTATTGAAATCGTTTTTTCAGGAGGTTATCATCACTGGTACAGGTAGCCTTGTTATGAAAAAAAAAAAAAAAAAAAAAAAAAAAACCAAACAGAAGTTGGAATTGACCTTCATAGGAACAATTCCAGGAGCAAATGCAGGAAAAACCCAGCTGGCCTTGGAAACTACTCTGGAGGGACAGTTAAACTGGCACTATAATTCCCAAACCTACCCTGTTACAAGATTCTGTGGAAATGGGTTAACTTTTATAGCTTTTAAGATATTGATCTTAATGATGTTTTACAGGCAGATCCAGTTCCTAATGGTTTGCGAGCTTTGCCAGTTTTCTATGCCTGCACAGTTGGAATAAACCTCTTTTCCATCATGTATACCGGAGCACCATGTAAGTACATATCAAAGCATTTAAATGTGAATATAAAGTTGTTTACAAAACTTGCATTAAATGCCCAATTTACCCCTTTTTGCTTTACAGGGCTGAAATCTCCTAGAAGGTGGCTGGCCTGCGCCCATTTCAGAAGGCTGCAGGCTAGTGTACGCTGAGTTAACCTAGATAGCTTTTCAACCAAAGAGACCTGCTCAGATTCTAAATCACTACAGACCTTTCCTCTTTAGTCTTCACAGGATCCACGATAATATGACCTTCTCCTTCCCTTTCTCCTGTCTATGCTAAAAATGCTGGAATTAATACTGACCTCGACTACTGAAGTCATTAGTAATATCTGGTCTTCAGTAATCAGTCGTTTAGGACTGGTTTGCTGGATATTCTCATTTTTCTGTCCCAAGTGGAGATACCATTGTTTCTAAGTACTAAACTTCCGTGAATCTGCTTGAATGAGAAGAGTTGGGATGTTTACCACCTGCTCTAAGTGCACTTGGAAGAAGAAATTCATGCAGCTAAGAGGAAAAATAATTTGTGAGAATATAAAGGTGGAAATGTTGATTACTTTCATGTTTGGGACTAAGGCAAGGCATGGATTAAATTATGGTGCAACAAGTTTAATTTAGCAACTACAAAAGATTGCTAACTTGTAACTTGCAGGACAGTACAGTTTTGGAATCTAGGCTCATTTGGCCCTGATGGTCTGTGACTACATAGGCAGTGACTTTTATTCTTTATACTGTGAACCACTGGAAGACATACGGGATACATGTGTATGTATATAGAGAGAAAGATAACTGGAATAGTGTTACGAAGCCGCCTTATACTTGCTATGTGCTATACACCCATATTTTCGAATTCTCTTTAGTTTTTTTTTTTTAAACATTTGTGTGGCCCACTGAAATGATTTCAGTTTTGACTAATGGGTTGTGACTTGCCTCTTAAACCTCACTAAGTAGTTGCTGACCTTGGAGTTAACTAAATGTTTTCATTTTTTTAAAATCTTATTTTAGATTCACAATTGTGTGTGTGCATTTTGTTAGATGGAGCTAAGTATTTTTAATCTTGCTTTTATTCTTGGAATAATCAGGAACAAAACAGACAACTTTAAGAAAATACTATTCTTAGGATATGCCGAACTCTTATGTACTGGTGAGGAGAAGCGAACTCCTGACCTCAGGTGTTCCGCCCACCTTGGCCTCCCAAGGTGCTGGGATTACAGGCACGAGCCACTGCGCCCGGCCAGTGCTTTGCTTCTGTCTTTAGTACAGGCTAATGGTTTGGAGCCTACTGGCATGTAGGTGACAATAAAATCATGACTAATACTGCTCATTCTTAAACCACATGGAAAGTGTTGCTAGGGAAGTCTCTTTTTTTAAGATAAGACTTGTTAGTGAAATTACCACTAAATTTTCCTTTTTGTGAAAGACAAAACCTTTTTTTTTTTTTTTGAGACAAAGTCCAGGCTGGACAATCTCAGCTCATTGCAACCTCCGCCCCCAGGTTCAAGCGATTCTCCCACCTCAGCCTCCTGAGTAGCTGGGACTACAGGTGTGCACCACCATACCTGGCTAAATTTTTTTGTATTTTTAGTAGAGAAGGGCTTTGCCATGTTGGCCAGGCTGGTCTCAAACTCCTGACCTTAGGTGATCTACTTGCCTTGGCCTCCCAAAGTGCTGGGATTACAGACATGAGCCACTGTGCCCGGCTGAAAGACAAAACTTTTAAAGCTATTCTTTAAATTACTGACTTTTGATAGGTATTTTTGTTTCTTGTATCTTGTTTTGATACGGCTTTCAAGGAGATAATCTTTACTGAAGGCCGGTACAATGGATGTAATCACTTTTACACAGAATTATGTCAGCATGACAAATGTGACTACTGAGACATCATTCTTGTGACATTAAAATAAGCTTGTAGGTGGTAGTGGAATATGTGGCAGTTATGATTACGAGCTAGGGAGTGGAACACTCTTCTTTTTCATAGCTAGTCACAGGTCCTTAGCATGTAATGATCCTTACTATCTTCTAAAGTGGAGAAAGGAAAAAGGCTAGTATGTTGAGACGCATAGGACCCTTGAGTCTCGCAGGTGTTCAGGTGGGCCAGGCTGGCGTGGGTTTTCGGATGATCATTGAGTTTTTCTCCCAAATTTGTATAGGCACTAGCACAGTAAACCCTGTGCACTTAAATCTGGCAGCAGCTGTCAAGGGTGTTGGGCTGGCTTGGGGAACCCCTTAGTCCCCAGAGGAGGGTTTACACATTATTGCAGGGGGCTGTTGCCCTGGGGTTTTCAAGATGCACCATTTTATCTCCTAGTGCTGGGCTTTGACAAACTTCCTCTGTGGGGTACCATCCTCATCTCGGTGGGATGTGCAGTTTTCTGTGCCCTTATCGTCTGGTTCTTTGTATGTCCCAGGATGAAGAGAAAAATTGAACGTAAGTAATAAGTTATAGCAGAAAAGTTTAACTACTAATGTTGTGCTTATTTCTTTTTTGTTTTGTTACCTGTAAAAATCTATTAGGATAGATTGGCAAAATAAGAGATTTTAAAGAGAAATTTGAGAATATGGGTTTGTTGCCCAAACTGTGTTCTTAAATAGACTACATGACCTAAGACCTAGTGATAAAGAGTATTCAGCCTATGCTGTAGAGATGTTAATTTTTATTTTAGTGTTCCTTGGTCAGTTGCCAGTGACATGATAGATAAATAGAGAAATCATACCCTACATTTACTGAGAAATATAAGGATACATACCTTAATGAAAAATAAGGGGTAGGTACAAGATATTTTCATAGAGGAAACATTTGCCCCAACTACTTCTGTGTGTAACTTCAGATTCAGACACGCAAAGCTAAGTCTAATGTGTACATGTTGTATATGGGCTAGAGTACGTATAGACATTGTATTTCAGTATGTAATACAAATACATATACAAACATACATTGTGTTTCTGCTAGAATTGTAACACAGATTCTAGAAGTAAACATTTTCAAGTGTCATGTGAAGGAATCATTTAGGGCATGACAACACACATGTTATTAAATACTGAGTAAATTTTGGTTAGTATCAAACTTACTTAAAATCTTGTATTTTTTTTCTTAAAAGAATCATTTTCTGTCCCTTTCATCTATGTGAAGGCTGGGCTAGCCATTTGAAGTTTATCCTTTTGAAGCTAAGGGATGCACAGACTGCAGAAGCATTAGGAAGAATGCTGCGTCACCGCAGCTGAACGGAGGAGCCTCCAAGAGGTTCTATGCTAGTCTGGCTATGCCAAGTGCATGGTGGGAACCAGGCTTTCAGGACTGTCTGACCTCATTTTCCCTCTCTGGGAGGAGATGAGACAAGTCTTGCTTTCTGTCAGTCAGTCTGTAGTTTGACTGAGATGCCTGAATGGATAGGTCAGCATACTGAGCACTGGCATGAGAGATAGGCAAGAGATACTGTGGTCTGCCTATGGGATTTAGAGCCGTAAGGCACACCTCTCTGTTTCATAGAGGTGGAAATTAAAGTTGTCATCTTTGGTTCCCTGCATTGAGCTATGCCACTTAGCTTGAATTGTTGGACTGAAATTGGAGAGAATCCTCTTTTAAAAAGAATAGAATTGGGTATAGTTCAGATTTTCAGTTTCAGATTATCACCCCAGTGATTGAGCTACTTTCCACTGCAGAATGGGTCCCAGGGAGCTAAGAAGGGTTCTTATATGTGTAAAGGTTTGTAAAAATAAAAACATAACACGAATGTGCTACAGAAGCCCATAAAACCTAAAATATTTACAGAAAATGTTTGGGACCCCTGACATAGGGTGTTCTGCATTGCTGGTTGTTCCCAAGTGAGAGTTGCTGGCAAATGATAAAGCAGGCAGGAAAAATGTTCCTGAAGGTCACATACATTGTTGTTTTGAGATGGGTTTTTTGGGGATGGAGGAAAGGAGCTGTGGAACAAGATAGTGTGGCCACAACCAAACCAAAAAAACCTTTTTTTTCCTAGGAGAAATAAAGTCTAGTCCATCTGAAAGCCCCTTAATGGAAAAAAAGAATAGCTTGAAAGAAGACCATGAAGAAACAAAGTTGTCTGTCAGTGATATTGAAAACAGGAATCCTGTTTCTGAGGTAGGGTCTGCCAGTGTGCCTCTCCAGGCTGTGGTGGAAGAGAGAACAGTCTCATTCAAACTTGGAGATTTGGAGGAAGCTCCAGAGCGAGAAAGGCTTCCCAGTGTGGACTTGAAGGAGGAAACCAGCATAGATAGCACCGTGAATGGTGAGTTGGAATTCCTGGTTTCACTTTGTTGTCTGCAGTGGTGGGGAGGCTTACTGTTTGGATTTGTTGCTTTTTGTATTGAATGTCACCTTGGTGATCTTGACTAGGTGCAGTGCGGTTGCCTAATGGGAACCTTGTCCAGTTCAGTCAAGCCGTCAGCAACCAAATAAACTCCAGTGGCCACTACCAGTATCACACTGTGCATAAAGATTCTGGCTTGTACAAAGAGCTGCTTCATAAGTTACATCTTGCCAAGGTGGGAGATTGCATGGGAGACTCTGGTGACAAACCCTTAAGGCGCAATAATAGCTATACTTCCTATACTATGGCAATATGTGGCATGCCTCTGGATTCATTCCGTGCCAAAGAAGGTGAACAGAAGGGCGAAGAAATGGAGAAGCTGACATGGCCTAATGCCGACTCCAAGAAGCGAATTCGAATGGACAGTTATACCAGTTACTGCAATGCTGTGTCAGACCTTCACTCTGCATCTGAGATAGACATGAGTGTCAAGGCAGAGATGGGTCTAGGTGACAGAAAAGGAAGCAGCAGCTCTCTAGAAGAATGGTATGATCAGGATAAGCCTGAAGTGTCTTTCCTCTTCCAATTCCTGCAGATCCTTACAGCCTGCTTTGGTTCATTTGCCCATGGTGGCAATGATGTAAGGTGAGTTGACATTGATCTTAGTGTTGTTAACTCTATTTTTAAACCATTTATCCTTTTCATAAGCCTGTGCTTGTGATAGTGGTACTCCTAGCACTTATGGGACCCTGAATAATACAAATAGAATGAGGTAATAGCAGTCATTGACTTAAGACAGTACCGTTTTACTCTTCAGAGGAATTACAAAGAATGTTTTTAACTTTATTTCTATAGATGATCAGGTATCTTTCACAGAGAAGGCTTTTGCCTATTAGGATGAGATCCAGTTCTTTGGTAGTGAATTGTGGGATGTAAGATGAAAAACTTGAAAGCTTTTCATACAGAATGATTTTGTAGTTTGGTTTGTAAACTGTTTATTGGAACCTGAGAGTTGCTTTAAGCTACCTGTAGGAAGAAGGAGGCCGCCATTTGCATGGCACTCTCTCCATCAGAGCTGTGCTTATTTTTCTTTTGTGTATGTTGGGTTCCATTTATGTCCTTGGAAAGAAAAGCCCTTTTGCTTGAAAGCCGTGCTTTAGATAACCTGGTATGTCATTCAGCAAATTGGATCTTGCCAAGATGTAGTTCTGCCTGAAAAATTACTTCTGCCCTCTTTGTTTCTTCCAGCAATGCCATTGGGCCTCTGGTTGCTTTATATTTGGTTTATGACACAGGAGATGTTTCTTCAAAAGTGGCAACACCAATATGGCTTCTACTGTATGGTGGTGTTGGTATCTGTATTGGTCTGTGGGTTTGGGGAAGGAGAGTAATCCAGACCATGGGGAAGGATCTGACACCGATCACACCCTCTAGGTAAGTAGGTGGAGTAGGCCTTACAGAGGTCAGTACCCATTTTCTTCAGAGATGTAATGCTGTCAAGTGCTAACGAATCTCTAAAGTAACCAAGTTTGTTTAAGTTCCTGATGTTCTTATTGTCAGTGTGTTCTTTTTAGATTTTACTTGTCTCCATCTTAAACATTTCGGTTAGACATTTTATCCATTCAGCTCCAGTGGTCTCTGAAGAAAATGACTTTTCTGAGAAAGCTGTGTGTGCTAAGAGTGGATAGTTATGTATACTTGCGTTTTATTTGTCTTTATTTGGGAGCTAAGAGTCATGTTTACCAAACCTTCAAAACAAAAGTGCAAATTTTATTTAATAATGGGCTGCCAGGGCCAGGCGTGGTGGCTCATGCCTGTAATCCCAGTACTTTGGGAGGCTGAGGCGGGTGGGTCATGAGGTCAGGAGTCCAGCCTGACCAACATGGTGAAACCCTGTCTCTACTGAAAATACAAAAATTAGCCAGGCATGGTGGCGCGTGCCTGTAATGCCAGCTACTCAGGAGACTGAAGCAGGAGAATTGCATGAACCCAGGAGGTGGAGGTTGCGGTGAGCCGAGATTGCGCCACTGCACTCCAGCCTGGGTGACAGAGTGAGACTCCATCTCAAAGAAAAAAAAAAAGGACTTCCAGATAAACATGAAACTTGAAACCTTAGAATAAGGAAACTGGGCATCCCATGGCTTGATTTAAATAAGATGGATCTTGGGGTTATAGCAAATAAAGATGTCAGTGGAGGTTTTGTGACTGAGTAGAACAAAGCAGGACTGTGTTAACTTGAGAAGCAGTGTTAGCTTCTCAAAAAAGTCAAACTGAATTCCTGACGACAATCCTTTTGTATCTGTAGTGGCTTCAGTATTGAACTGGCATCTGCCCTCACTGTGGTGATTGCATCAAATATTGGCCTTCCGATCAGTACAACACATTGTAAAGTAAGTGTAATGTCAATGTGTGTTTTTCAAATGGTTCTTCTAATAGGTAGGGTTTAAAATTTACTTCTCTGATATTTGATTTAGAAAGTTTTGTGTAATTGGAGTCTTGAAGAGTTCACAAGTTTAGGGCAAGCGATTACAAGAATAAAGGCTTACACTATACGATTTCTCGTGTCTGTTCTTAAGCAATTAAATAGATATTCTCCCCAAATAATAGAAACATTCTTTTATGTGGAGCTTGCTATAATTTTTGGTTACTAACCTCTTCCTTTGTTACCTAGCCATCCCTCATTGTAGTGGTTTTATAGTAATTTTTTAAAAAATCTCGAGTCATTTTTACTTGACACCATTATTTATTTGTTTATTTATTTATGAGTCAGAGTCTTGCTTTGTCCCCCAGACTGTGGTCCAGTAGTGCGATCTTGGCTCATTGCAGCCTCCGCCTCCCAGGTGCAAATGATTCTTGAGTCTCAGCCTCCCAAATAGCTGAGATTACAGGTGCCCGCCACCATGCCTGGCTAATTTTTGTATTTTTAGTAGAGACAGGGTTTCACCATGTTGGCCAGGCTGGTAATAAATTCCTGACCTCAGGTGATTGACCTGTGTTGGCCTCCCAAAGTGCTAGGATTACATGTGTGAGCCACGGCGCCCGGCCAGCCATTCGGGGCAGGATGGGTGTATGCTTAGAAACTGGCGGGTGCTTTAATTCTGACCAGGTGGGTTTCTGCTGCCATTGGTGGTGGCTTAAGGCCTGGTTCTAACAAGTTTGCGAGGCTTGCCAGAATGTTGGCAAGGCTGTTTATTTACAGAACGCATATATTCAGGGCCTCTCAGGATTGAAATACTGAGAAACTAAACAAATCTTAAGATTGTTTAATGACAATATAATAATTATAGGAAAAGGAAGAAACTAGTTTTCTTAAAAGGATTTATGTTGGTCCATTGTGGATCCTGCCGAGTCATCTGTTTGCTACCACATGTGTCTCCAGGCAGTCATTTATTAGGTTTAAAATCAGCCACTCTGCAAATAATCTTTGGAAGACTTACAACTCAATTTGTTATTAAAAGTAGTGTTTATTCATTAAATTCTAGTAGCTTAGAAGGGGAAAAGAAATAGTTCTTGTGTCCTTTTACTACCGTTAGTATAGATTATGGTTGGATTTTCAAATTGCCTTCATTTTCCCATCTTCTTAACCTGTTGTAAACCAGCTTTCATGGACTTGTTCTTGTCCAGGGGTCTGGGGCTCCTTGCCCAAACAGTTTCAGGTGTCTCTTTGCCAAAATACCAGAATACCATTGGCACTTTAATAACCTGTTTCCTTGGTCTGTTTCTCTTTTAGGTGGGCTCTGTTGTATCTGTTGGCTGGCTCCGGTCCAAGAAGGCTGTTGACTGGCGTCTCTTTCGTAACATTTTTATGGCCTGGTTTGTCACAGTCCCCATTTCTGGAATTATCAGTGCTGCCATCATGGCAGTCTTCAGATACATGCTATCCTGTGATCAAAATTTGTGTCAATGTTTGGGACCACCTTAGGTATTCCTGCTCCCCTGAAGAATGATTACAATGTTACTGACGACGTCTTTTTATTTGGGAGCCAGAAGAGGGAAGTGTTACTTGTGCTATAATTGCTTTTGTGCTAAATATGACTTGTCTCAAAATTAGCTATATAAAATAGCCAGGGTTCCACTGGCTCCTGCTGAGATCCCCTTTCCTTCTGGGCTGTGAATTCCTGTACATATTTCTCTACTTTTTGTATCAGGCTTCAATTCCATTA